CTAGAAACAGTAGGTGAAAAGCTAGAGCATACTAGCGTTGAAACCGCTATAAAAACTAAAGTGCCTGGATGAATATCGGATAAAATATGCCAACAAAAAGCGGGTAACGAAGTATGGCGGTTATAAAACTCATGCAATTCCTCAGAAGAATTAGTTAATAGAAAAGAACAAATGATAAGAAGCCAACCCTCCATTACTTCTAGATTCCAGTCAAATGCAGCTCCAACCCAACCACACAGAAAGAAACTTTTGTATTGGCAACGGCTACTCAACCAAACCGAGGATTACTTAACACACGAAAGGAAACTTCAACTTCAGCTGCAATCAACCAGTCTAAATCAAAGTTAATCACAATCTCGAAGAGAAATTTAACAGATAAAAGGAGAAGACAACATATATTTTTCAAGAAGGATCACCAGGATAGCGAATGTTACATTTACCCCATCCTCAAACAACGAGTTGATCGTTTAAAGAAAATCCATGCTTGAACTACTGCAGAATGGGGCAGAGCGAAGTCGACTGTAACAAAGTGGCACGTCGTTTCTGTTGTAAAAAAATAAAAAAAACTCACTACAATGCCTCATCACTACAATGTCAAGCAATAAGATTTTCCAGCTAAAGGAAAGAAGGCTACAACTGTCAGAAAAAATGTAAGCAAGTTTCCTTTCCAATATTCCGATTGAATAAGTTTGCTTGATATATTGATTATATTTGTATAATATGTAGCGAGTGGTAATACCTAAATCATTTTTATCCCGCGGTCCAAAACACCGTGTTTACAATAATGGACAAATCCACACTGCACTTTGTAAACCTTCCTCATCATGTCACTGCCTAAACTGTCATGCTTACTTGATGAACGAAGTGCCCATTGTAACGGTTAAGTCAACAACACTCATCCATAAAACGATCTATTCGCACGTACTGCAACACGTCACAATACAAGTCCATGGAACCATTACGTCAAAAACTATTCAACATCAATACATATACATTAAAATGCTGCACATACAACGCCATGCAATTATGGAAGCAAAAGATTGGAATGCATGCCACTCTGAAATGGAATCATTAACAACCTATTTTCAGGTACAACAATCCCAGAACTTCAAGCACAACACACTAAACGTACCGGATCTCCACTAACACCTATCACAGTACCACATGCTAATACCACGCACTATCAATCCGCGTGCTGACCAGTAACGTATGCTATCACACTACAATATACGCAGTGTATGCAACAACCCAAACTCATATCACATCTTTAACCAGGACAGCTCAAAGGTGCTTGAAAGCAAACAAACCTGTAAAACTCAATCTACTCCTCACTCACACGGTGGTTCTTGTAATTCGTAGAAATGGAACCCGCAACCGCTCAATATGAAGAGCTGTCCACATCTATTGCAAATCCAAATTCTAACATGAAGAACAACATATTGGCGGTTGCGGACTCTAAATGTGAACACGAACACCAACTTTACTCATCAACAGAAATAGGTTACAATGTATGAATCAGTAAACAAATGTTAACAAATTTCAGAACCGATAAAAAACAGGCATGCGCAAGCACATTCATCTTCTACAATTCTTCAGGGATCATTCAATAACACTGCTAATACTGATTTTTACAACTGCGCACTATTTCACATTACCCTATGCTTTTCCCAGTCATGGAGATAAAAAAATTTCCAAGTTTTTGAAGTGCTAAATTGATATGCTATATA